TGTTTGTAACCAAATACAAGATCGATCCATTGGTTGAGGTTTTGCGAAACATATTCTGACTCTAAGGCCTGTAGAACAAAAGCAACGATTGATCAGCCGCTGAGTAACCTTTATCACTCAAAGACTTGGAAAGCTAAATCTTCAATATTTCGCTTGGTTTTGACCTGGTCCACGGTCTGGGGTCTGAGATCGATATTTTGCAACTCCTTCGCCCATTGTCTTGTCGAAAGTAAAAGGAAACTGAAGTCATTCAACAAAAACAACTGCAAAAAACGGCGAGTAGAAGTCGATACAACACAAGAAGACGACAAATTCTCTATCTATTGATTTCTATATTTGATCACTAGGAGTAATGAGTTATGAAGGGTGCTACGAAATAAGATTTCCGTACCTGTCTGTGAATCATAGTGAAAAGCCTGGTGCTACCTTTTGCCCACTGGGGAACCTCTACATCCATAACCCGCTGACCATTTTGACGAAGGCCAAAGTCAAAACCTGAAAACATCAATTTACGAAATTAACAAGGTTAACTCTATCCTACTTTTCTTTAGGTTAGTGGTAGAGATTTTGACTGTAGATAAAAAGGAGGTCTTGGAACAGTAGCTTAATGAGAGAAAGTCAGTGCTATTCAAGGATTCACAGTTAAACTTGTTTTTGATGTCTCTAGTATAAAAGTGCGTTGTAAAGCTAACGTTTAGAACGGAGGGAGGGAGGGAGGGGAGGGAGGGGGTAACGGAAAAGAGTAAGACAACACAGGAGTGGAAGACGTCCTAACCTACCCTCCCCTTTTGTAGAAATAGTTCAAAGTTTTAACACCAACTTAATCTCCCTTACAAGACGTCTTCATAAGTAAGGATCATTGCTGTAAGATGTCTGAAAAACAAGCAAAGTGTTTGGTGAGAGTGAAGGAGGTTGAACTTAATAATATTGTTTAACAAGGCGTAACGAAGTCAAGGCAAAATTCGTAAATCAATTTTTGCAACGTTCAATTTAACACATCGACAGTGGTTTAGCTTGGTCTGTATCCTTATCGACGATACTCGTCATCACAATGGACAAAATATTGAAACGATTCTTTCAGTGCGTGACCATTGGGTGACACGTTGACGAGAGCAAGCGTCTGTGCTTTTATCGACAACGGCAAATTGGCCAATCAAATTGCGACATTACTGCCAATTGAATTTACGAGGGATATGGTTAGGATTTAATTTGAATTGATTTGTGTTGGGATGTTTTTCTAGGTATCTTGCGGTGGTGGTAAAAGCCTGGGCCGAAAGACCCGAAAGCAGTTCCGAAGAGGAACAAAACGAGCGTGACGTTCCGAGACAAAAAGAAAAGCTGGGTCCAAAGCGAGGGCGAAGTCTGTGGAGAAGAGTAAACAGCGCAAGGAAAGGCGCTCGCAAAGACAACCTTCTCCCACTAAAGAAGGCGAATTCTAACCCTCTGAGTGGTGAAGTCAAGTCTGGTGTGGAAGAGATATCAACTAAACGGAGCTACAACGGAGAATCTCTCCTTCGTCCGCAGGTCACCGTAAGTGATCCGGAACTCTCCGAGGAAGACCGGTTACAAAATAATAGCTGTTCAGACGACGACCAGCTTAAACCGAAGGAACCCGACGGCAGTGAAACTCCGAAGAGATCCCGACGCGAAGTTCTGGATATGGTTCTTCGAGGAGCTGCAAGAGCTGTCGGAAAACTTAAACATAACGCGAAGAAACCCAAGTTTAATTTTGAGAAATACATTTCTTACCTTCAGAACGTCCTACCCAATATTGGATTTGACATTATGGGAATCATCGTGACCTGGAATATGGTGTCCGCCATTATATTTCTCGAGGTGTCCGTACTCGCTCTTTTTGTTCAAGAATCGATTTTCGGCAATTCCAAGGCGACAGTTACATTGTAGTGATACAGATGTGCTTCAGATAGATTGAAAAATTTATGCTCTGAACGATTTGAACCATTGAACGATTGCTGTCACATCACGATGTTTGTGCTTAAATACTCCAACAACATTCGTTAAGTAAATTTGGGATTCAATCGTTGGATCTGATATGGTGTGTTTGATTGCCCACCGACTTGAGATTTTGGCAGTACACCGACTGATATCTGCGTTAGATAGAAAGGTATAAATTATGGTTGTGATTATCACTAGTTAACGGGGCCTCAGGCCAAATCGTGATGACGTTGTAAATTTACTTTCGTTGCTATCGTAGTCGAGCAGATTTGAACCGTGCGAATTCAAGTCATTTTATCACGCATCGCATTTGTATCTACATGCACATACCTTGTAAGAATAAAGTTTTTAAAACCCAACAGCTTCTAGTTTCAATATAAATACACTGTTACGAGATATGTTAGTCGATAAATTGATACAGTCAACTGTGTGCTGTAATCATGCGAGAGAAGATAGTCACTCACTGATAACTGATCAGTTACGATCCTTCAGTCAAGCAAAGTCGTTTTGCTTATTCATTAGTTTAAGTCGTTGTTATGGTGCTAGTAGATATGGCCAGAAGTCTGTTGTGAGTTTATAAACCAGCTAAATCTATACTAAACGTAAATAATGTATGACGTACAAAAAAACAACAAATGTTCGTTTGTTCATTCGTTGTCCTGCAGACAGGGAGCAATTTTCGGACGAAACTGTGGTGCTGCGTCGGTGGGAGTATTATAATTCGGTTTTATCAACGGAGTTGATAATGTAATTTGCCCAACGTAGAGAATTTGTAAGGCTCACCTCTCCAGCGTGAGCTCTTCGTCGTCGCTTTGACGAAAGGCTGACGCTAGAAACTTCCAACTTAGAAACTCTCTACGCTGGCTAAATTACATATCAACTCAGTTGACGAAACCAAGTTATCTTATAACAATGGAGAGGAATTGAATGAGACAATCATACAATACCAAAAAGATACAAAACAGGATTTAAGGTTGTAAGAGAAAAAGTTTTTGACATTACGAGAAATCTTTCATCTACCTGTCAGTAACATGGCGTTATATAATACTTAAATTCTTCACATTCTAAAATCATTTATTGAAATATCGTGCCTCTATATCAGTCCACAGATATTAACCGAATGAGTAACAAAATTCAAATCCGGACACGAGTGCTTCAATTCCTCCTGTCAAAAATTTGAAACTGGTAATATCACTTGAAATATATTGTGACTACTTGAAGAGGTTCAGTAGTGGACTTTACAATCCGCTCCAGGGTTATTGTATCAGGTTTCCAAATGTTGAATTCTAAGGGCCCTGTTTTAGGGACCAAAATAGTACCTCACAGGGGGCCCGGGTAGATCATCATCGCCGTCACCCTCAAACGAAACCGTGAGGTCCACGTATGCTTTGTTGGGTGCCTTTATCAATTTGGTCATTCTGTTTAGGAAAAACGCATTAAGAAAGTTGACAACTCAAAGCTAAAAGGAAAAATGAGTTAGTGTCCCTGAACTGGACATTTGAAGAGACACAGGACCCTTCAGTTGATGGAAGTCCTTGTAAGACCACGGTTAGAGACCATCAAAATATCTAAAGATTTCTCAGGAACTAACTTATTTGAAGAAATTTTTTCCACTGTTGAGACCAGTCATTAACTATCNGACGGGTGATATCCCGTCTTTGCCAGGGCTCTCAACATGCCACCAGCGCGCGTTTTCTCGGATTTTGCGGGCATGCCACGCGGCCGTGCCTATTGTTTGAGACGCGCGCTTTGTGCGCCGTAATACCCATCCCGCTGGACTACAAGCTCAGTGAGTTTCAGCCTCCCTGCCCACGTATCCCGTCTTTGCCAGGGCTCTCAACATGCCACCAGCGCGCGTTTTCTCGGATTTTGCGGGCATGCCACGCGGCCGTGCCTATTGTTTGAGACGCGCGCTCTGTGCGCCGTAATACCCATCCCGCTGGGGGGGGGGTTGGATTTTAGGAAATCACAGGGGGGGACGGAGGAATGGAATCAGTCGTCGCCAACAGAGTGTAAAGGAGAGACTACAGAAAATGGACAACCACTAACTGCCAATGAGGGAGGGAGGGGGGGACATTAGAAAACCCTCAGATGTTGATTCAAATTTAACTTCGGGAGAAAACCAAACGGCCCCAAAAAAGTGCATGAATATTAGAACTCACAGGAACTCAATACATGTTAGGTGGGTGGGAGGATATCAGAGGGGCGGTGCTCTTCCTACTTCTAACGCGGTCAGCATACAATGACAGCAGAAAAAAATTAAGTAAAAAATCAAACAAGTGCCAAGTTTAATACTTACTTTTGTTCTAGTCGTTTAGAGTGTCCCGGTAACAACGGCACATAAACAATCTTTACGCCGTGTACAACAATGGACACAACGAATCCGTACTTATCCTAAAGAGAAAAAAAAATTACAGACAAAGTTTCATAAGGATGTATTTGAATTTGTAAGGGTGTATCGCCAATACATTCAAAACACAGATAATGCTTTAATCTCAAACACTTTGCAGTCCTATTGAGAAATTCCGAAGGGATGTGGGCAATGGATATAACAGCGTACAGTTTGATCCCCTCTTTATCAAGTAAAAAGGACGATTCAGAAACATGACAGCTTTGCATACCTCCAAATGGTGAAAAGACGCTAGTGCATTAGAGAGCTTTTTAATTGAGTGTCGTAAAACCAGAACCGATGTAGTCACAACAGCCAATCATATCACCAGGAGTCAATGAGAACTCGACGTTAAAACCAGCAAACTGCCTGAAGCGCGGGAAAAACGCGGGTGATCAAGTCGTGATTGGTTTTAGTTTTGAATCTGATTGGTTGAGAAAGTGGCGGAACCACCGGAGTTTTCTGAACCAATCACATAACAAAGTGAAGCAAAAGCAAAGCAATCCTGGAACCACTAAAGACGCTGTTTTATCTCTTGGACTGCCTATGTTCGTAAATTTTCACCGCGCCTACCTTGAAATATTTCACGAAGTCTTTAAGTTTGAACTCTTGTGTCCCTTGGACCACCCACTTGTCCCAGTTTGAAAACGACAAACCTTCCCTTAAAAAAAAAAAAAAAAGAACATGTATCAGAAAAGTGATGAAAATCTGCCAAATGATCCTCCTCTAAACACCGCGCAAAGAAGCCCAAGGAGGAAGAATTGTAGTCTTAACATGACCTTCTAAGAGGAAATACAATGATACGTTGCGGTTTGTAAGTCTTGGAAACTTAAGCCTTATTTTTTTCCAGAACTTAATTTACACTCCTTGTTAATAACAATCTTCCTAAACTTCCCTTGTCCCTTGCGGTTGTTTGTTTATTTGTTTTGTTTTTTTTTTTAACTTGTTTGGTTATTTTCAACGTCAGCCAGCTGTTACTGCGTGGTTATTTTTTATTTTACCGATCAACACCCCAACATCAGTTTGCATACTCTCCACACGTTTCCAATAGTACATATAGGAAGAATTTGTTCAACAACAAGAGCTTATTTTGAAAACGAGCATGCTAATAATTCTCAAATCTACACATTTGATTCAGCAGTGATACTGGAAGGGACAAAACAGATGCTGGATACTATTTTAGTGCTGTAGCTCCTTTAAGACAACTAACCTGATGACCGTGACCTCTGGGGGGCCTGGTTGCGAGAAAATGACATAAGGAAGTGCAAGGTTCATGAAGCAGTTTTTGAATTCTTCGGCGGGACTCTTCATAACAACCTTGACGAGCTCGATAGTGACCTGGAACCGAAACAAAAGTATATTAAAGTCCTCTCCGTTATCTACATTACTCGTTACATATCTACAGCTTACGCTGCCTTTCAACTTACCAAGCCAGCTACGGCAGCAGTAGTGGTAGCTATAGCAGGAACTATTTTGCCAGCAATCTTCTTGGTTTTCAACCTGTCAGCAGTTTCTATGCTATACATGGTAGCGCGAAGGTTCTGCAATATAAGTCATAGGGAAGATTGTTAGTCATTACAAACCAAGACACGCAAACATGATAAAAAGCATGAGTCGAAATTTATCTGATTGAACTCAGTATTTATGTGTTTAGGCGTGTAATGTCATGTCTACCAAGCACATATGCTGCTTAGATGGACTCCAAGATATCTAGATTTACAGTCAGTTCAGGTCAACCAACCACATATACTGCTCAGATGGACTCCAAGATATCTAGATTTACAGTTAGTTCAGGTCTACCAACCACATATACTACTCAGATGGACTCCAAGATATCTAGATTTACAGTCAGTTCAGGTCAAAAACCAGTCTCAATGAACGGAATAAAACACCAATAGGTTAAATACAAGCCACGGTAATCATGGAGTCGTCTTTTCTTCGGGATCCGTCATTGACTGAAGAAAAACGAAAGGTGTAGATAAAATACTTAAAACGAACTAACCGAAGCTGACGTGATAAAGTCAATGTGACCGTTCGAATCATCGTCTTTTTCAAATTCTTGAGGAAACATTGGCAGCACATCTCGACAAAAAAAAGAAGAAAAATTAATACCGCGAATGATAGTGGCAACAACGAAATGCACATCTAATAAGAGGTATCGTGATATATACAACTTTAATCACCAAATCTTGGCGGATTAAGAGAAAGGATTAAGCCAAGAGGCCCACTTCAATATAGACCTTACTTCTGCGAAAAGTTCGCTCGACTTATTTTTGGACATAAGTTACCAGGTCTCCTGGGAATGTTACATGTATCTCGTGAGTTGCTGGAGTGCTTTAGGGCAAAGCGAATAGAAGCCTTCAGAGATGCCCTCTTGTATAAAATTCGCAATGCAGGATTGACGACTACTGGACCCAACAAAGATCTCAGAGATCGGGAGTGATTTACTCATAACTTCGTCAGTGCTACCTACGAAATGAAGCCTTCATGGAAATTGGAACCTCCTTAGCTTGATACAATTATCGAACTTAAAGAAAAACAAAAACAGCAAACAAGAGAACAACAGATAAACAAACAAGGCGGAAAATGATTCCCGTTTTCTCCACACCCAACAAACGACGAGTTGGCATGGGTAAGGTAATAGGTATACCATTTCCTACCGTTGCTTGACTGAATTCCCTTTGCCATTATCTCTCTGATATCTGCTATTAATTTATCCGTGTCACTAGAAGACGCATTAGAAGACTCGCCTGGCTTCGATGCTGTTTCGTCTGTTTCAATTTCCTAAAGTATAAAATTTGGAATAATGTCATTGATCCCATCGTAAAAAATTACCCAACAAAGCCGGTTCCGTTGCTAACCTGAGAAAAGCGGACACGATTGAGAGTGATAATGATGACAAACATGGACTGACCTTTGAGCTTGGCCTAAATTCTGGAACTTTGACATCGCAGAGTACTTCAACAATACGAGTGTCACTTAAATCCTGTCACAAAAAGGAACAAATACTGAGAAGACTTGATTCCTCGTTAACAAGATTGTACGAACGTTTCTGTAAGGCTTCGCTTATGTAGAACCACCACAAACAGTTGTCATTATAACATAACCAAAGTAAAGCGCGCGCTCTGATTTGTCAATTGTGTCCACCATTTGCCGAAGGGTGTACGCTGCTACGCTGCAGACGAGAGCAAATGCAAAGACTAGTTTTCGCGCGCTTGTTTCTTCTGGTCACGTAAGATTTGTTGTATAAAAATGTTTAATGGTTTAATGATACTCTTTCTCGGCTATCGCCTCGCGCGACTCTAGCTTCTTGAGTGCTTAGCAAACCTCCCGCGTGCATCCATGACTCAAAAGTGTGCTGTGGAGTTTACCATTTGTTAATTCAAAATGTGTGTTGTGTGGGAGACGAGGCGCCCTAATAGCTAGTGCGCTTGACTCCGGGTCGAGAGGTCTGGGTTCGAGACCAGGCCAGGTCACTGTGTTATGTTCTTGGGCAAAACACCTTACTCTCACAGTGCTTCTCTCCACCCAGGAGTAGAAATGGGTACTTGTGAATTGTCAGGAAAGCCTGATAAAATTCTGGGGGGGAGGGGGAGGAAAGGGGGGGCCTCTTGCAATGGACCAGCATCCCATTCAGCGAGGAGTAGTAATACTCCTAGTCGCTTCATACTGAGGAAACCCGGATGAGCTCGGGCTGGGTGATCCACTTGACTTGAGTAGAAACTACTCAATATACACCGAATGCAAATATGGCGTTCAATTTGAATTTCCATTGTTCTGGACTGACTAGCCTCTCACACATGTAATAATCCTTTTGTGTTTCCACGTGAAGACGAGGCTAGTCAGTCCAGAACAATGGCAATTCAAATTGGACGCCATATTTGCATTTGGTGTACATGCACCGCACAGTACACGGGATGTTACAAGAAATCAAAGCGTAAATGAATAGATGAATGAATAAACGGATGAATGGACGAACAAAAAAGAATTACCTCTGGGGTGTACTTGATTCCGCATGTGTCTGCGTGTAGTTTACTGCTGCTTCTTACAAAAAGCATGTGCCTGGAGAATTTTAAACAAATAAAGGAGGTCTACACTTAAAATTTCTACGCTTTTTAATAAAACGAGGACTATGGAATTGGAGATGCATCATTGAAAATGCGTTTTACGCTGATGTCAATCGTGTTAGGAACTTCTCGTTAAACATTGCACTATTTTAGAACGTAAAAGTATTGATTGTTGAATTTTGATCCATTTGTTTATTTCAGCCAAAAGGCGTCAGTTAAGATTATGACTGACGGCAGCACGGAACAAATTGACACCTTTTACCTCAAAACCAAATTATATCATAATTACGTGGTAGCCGGGTCTGTTTCTCGAAAGACCCATTGACTTTGCGCACGCGAAAACCTGATTTGTGTTTAGTCGTGTTTCATTCAAGATAGAGATTTTGACAGTCCTGAAATGCAAACGGTAAAATATCAGGAAACGAAACAAAAAAAAAAAAAGCTGGTTTTTAGAGCCAAGATCCTCACTAGAATTCCTTAGAGGCCTGTAAAGGTAAGGAACTTTCCAGAAACGGGCCCCAGGTCATTAAAATGCACACCACACCGAGACTAACGATCATTAATGACTTAACATCACGAAATGGAAACACAAACAAAATGCCTTTGATTTAAGACTCACAATTCATTCCTGGTGTCGAATTGTTGCGGCATTGGCGGTCTCTTCGGGCTCTGCCAGAAAAGGGCTGAGGGCGACAATAGAGAAATTCATCGTTAAAAACTAAATAAGAGTTAACAAACGTAGTGAGGCATAATTTCAACTTACAACCATCCTTGACTCTCGTGTCTAGTGGAAATGCATGGAGTAACTGTTTGGCCTGAGAAATAGATAATAAATAAATATGTACAATGAATTTTTAGAAGTGGAAACGCCACCAAATCATTGTGAGACCACGATGTTGTTTGCCGTTATCGTGATCAAAACATATGCCACAACAGCGGCAAATTAAGAAGAAACTTGAAATGACCATGTATCTGTAGACTCTTTGCTGGACAACTGGACACTTAGGGGCGCGATATTAAATGAAAAAGACTTCTCTACCATTTTCACACCAATTACACCCTTGTTCCCGCCTTTTCGTTGACCGATTACAACGACGGCAGTTGGTTTCCCGACATTGGGCACAAAGTTGCGCCATTTTCAGATTATGAGAACACACTTGCCTTGTGGTTGTAGTATTTCTCAAATTCTATTCTACTACGGGCAACGCACTCCGCCCAATTGGCAGGTCGTTGTTTTAACATTTTTACAACTCGGTAAACACTTTCAGGTTCGTCTCCAGATTGAAGAGTCTAAGGAAGAAACAAAAACAACGCATAACCTTCATCGTTTATTTAAAGACCAGCTATTAAACCCTCAATGACACGCTCTTTCTTGTTTCATTTCAAAAAGTAGCTGCAAGCCGATTTTTCCATCTGGAATAATTTAGACCATACTTTTCAAGTTAGTATTTTGCAATCTAACCTCGTTTATTTGTCTGCACCTACATTCATTCATTCATTCGTTCATTTGAAGAATTTCGTATAGAGGAGCATTTTCTAGGCACCAATACTACGCTACTGGAAAGAAACATGACTGTTAGAGGTCTACTAATCCCGCGATCAATTCGACACCTTACAGAAATGCCGTGGGAAGTTTGAGTGCCTTATTTACAAGATGCCTATTATAAAGAAAACGCAACTATCTCTGAATACTCAAACAACTCCATTCCAGCCAAACTGTTCTCTTTATCACAGTGTCTTTATCAATTCTTTCCTTTGTTTCGACACCTTACAGAAATGCCGTGGGAAGTTTGAGTGCCTTATTTACAAGATGCCTATTATAAAGAAAACGCAACTATCTCTGAATACTCAAACAACTCCATTCCAGCCAAACT